TGCGTAACTGGGAAAATCCAACATTACATTAACACCTCAAAAGAGGCTCAGCAAGAGCCAGAATTGTCTCTTAGCTCAATTATACAAGATGCCTGAAAGGGTGAAGCCATATATTATTGACACCACTCCTGCCTTTGGAACCTGGGAGCATCTAATGGAAGCCAGCAAACCTGAGTGGCCTTGCCCTGGGAGACATTTTCCTATGATATCATCGACTAGATAGTTACTAATGACTGAATGAGATTCTAGTAATGTGCCTGTATATTTTGATTTTTGTGATTATTTTGCCGTAAGCAATCTGTGTTCGAAGACCAGGGGACAGACTGCGTTGTGATTAATTAATAAGAAATACGCATTTGGTCATTCAGGTGACCAAAATATATTTCTCATAAATATGTGGTCTCAGTCTTCAGTTGCTGGTTCACAGTTCCCCAAACCCTTGGAATTTCTTATTTATGCTAATGAAGTTGACTTTTGGACACCATCCAAGAGTCGGGGACTGGTTGCCAAAAGAACCAGCCATGTGATCGGAGGATTGGAACTTTCAGTCCCATCGTGATTTCCGGGGAGGGGAGGAGGGCTTGAGATTCAATCAGTTACCAATGGCCAATGACTTAGTCAGTCAGGATGATGTAATGAAACCCCATTAAAGACCCAAAAGGACAATTCGTTGGCCCTTTTTTGGAGAACTTCTGGCTGGGTTAACACACGGAGATGCTGGCGGAGTGGCATACTGATTGGGCCTGGAAGCTCTGCATGTCTCGTACCTTGCCCTGTGTGTCTCGTCCATCTGGATATTCCTCTGTATCCTTTATCGTATCCTTTAATAAACTGGTAAACGTAGGTGAGTGTTTCCCTGAGTTCTGTGAGCTGTTTTAGTGAATTAATCAAAGCTGAGGAGGGGGTCCTGGGAAACTCTGATTTGTAGCTGGTCGGTCATAAGTACACGTAACAACCTGAACTTGAGATTGGCATCCTGAGTTGGAGGGGGTCATTGAAACCTCCAGTTTGAGCCACTTAGAAGCCCAGGTAACCACCTGGGCTTGCAGCTGGTGTCTGAAGTGGAGGGTGGTCTTGTGGCACTGAGCCTTTACCTGTGGAATCTGATTCTCTCTCTGAGTAGACAGGTGTCAGAATTGAGTTGAATTCCCAGACACCCTGCTGGCGTCCAAGAACTGCTTGTTGGTGTGGGGAAGCCTCCACATACACGTGTTGGAATTGGGTCCAGGAACGCTTTGCATTACGTCTTCCATTAAAAGTTCTATGATTTTTTTCCTCTATACTTTCTATCGTTTCACCAAAATTCCTATTGGCATCTTTATACCTTTTTAAATAATAGTGTCATTTTCGTTGATGGTGTATATGTATTTATTTCATTTCCCCATGCTACCTAGTCATTTAATACTTATAACTTTTACAGATTCATTATTTAGTGATAAGCTGCTGAAATGAAGCTCTGCGTCATGTCCTCCCTCTGCCTGCCCACATTCCCTCGCTGAGTCTGATGGATCAGTCTTGGACACAGACACCTAGTCCTTTCCCTCCCATGTGAGAGGGTTTACCAGTAATGACAGGTCCTTTCTTTCCCCGTCTTCTCCATCCACAGCTTCATGATCGTCTCCACCCGTCAGGAAGGTACACTTCAAGCCCACCATTCTCACAGACCCTCCCTCAATTGCAAGAGGTGTCTCTGTTTGGAAAAGTCTCTCCACATATTTTTGCATATCTGGCATTGCTTTTTGATAGCAAATCTGGTCCTGGCTGCCACTAAGGTTCCTAGGACTCACAATTGTAAAAACATCCTTTAAAGTCTGAGTGAGATAAGCTCCACCAAAAGAATTTCCAGATGAGAAGGGGTTATAAGAATGACACATTGAATATATTCTTCAAAAATGGCCTTGTCATAAAAAAGAAAGACTGAGAAACTAATCCAGATTAAAGGAGACTAAATACACATGACAACTAAACGCAGTATTGTGATTCTGGGCGGAATACTGTAACATAGCTTTAAAAAAAAAGCCACAAAGAACATTATTCAGTAAACTGACAAAACCAGAATAGGAATGAAAGATTAGTTAAAAAGTTTTATACCAATTTTAAATTTACTGAGAGAGATTACTGTGCTGTATGTTAGAGAATATTATTTTTTAAGGAACACACAATGAAATATTCAAGGAGAAAGTGCATGATGCACGGAATGTATTCTCAAATATTCAGGAATGTATGCATATTTTTGTGTGTGTGTGTGTGTGTGTATGTGTGTTCATATAGAGAAAGAAAGGTGAGAGAGGGAAGGAGACAGAAATAGATGAAGACAGAAGAGAGAGATCAAAAATGGGTCAAAATTTTAATAGGTAAATCTGGATAAAGTGTATATGGTGGCTTACCATCCATGCATCTTTTCCATAAGTTTATTTTCAAATAAATACGTTTTAAAAATGGACCATTGGCTGTTGTTCTGAATTTTACCTAAACTTTGGGATTTCTGGCTTTCGTTCCTGCAGCTACCACCACCACCGTAGCCAGACCCCAGAAGTGTGCAATGCCAACTTTACAACAGTTGTCTCAGGTTCTGTCCCAGGCAAGAAACCCGGGATCCTCTTTGCACATGTGAAGCGTGCTAACATTTCAACAGGGTCTACACAATATTGGAAAAGAGCACCTCCCCCGCAAAACAAGGTTTTAGAAAATTATGCACAAAATAAAACAAAACATTTGACGTGTTTACAGCATGGAACCCTTAACTTCTTATCTGGTGTCACCAAGTCATCTGTCTTCTGGGCTTTGTGGTATGAGTTGGTTTGCGGGCACTTCATCTGCTCTGCCAGTCAGTTACCACTCCACCAAATATCCATCCTCAAAAATGGGTTGACGTCTTTTGTCCTGTCCTCTCCCCTTCTTGTCATCCTCAAGTGCTTATTCTTTTTAAATCCTTTGTTTTACCAGATTTATGAAAATGTAGTTCACCTACCATACAATTCACCCATTTGAAGTGTATAATTCCATGATTTTTAGTATATTCACAGACATGTGTAACCGTCAGCATAGTCAATCTTAAAACATTTTCATGACTTCAAAAAGAAACCCCATAACCTTTAGATATCATCTCCTTCTCCCCTCATACCCCCAGCCCTAAGCAACCACTAATCTACTTTCCATCTCTCTAGATTTCCCTATTCTGGACATTTCCCATGAATGAAATCATATGTGGTTTTTTGTGAGTGGCTTCTTTCACTTAGAATAATGTTTTCAAGTCTCATCCGTGTTGTTGTGTGTTTATTGCCAAAAAAATATTACATTGTATGGATATACCACATTTCATTTACCTATTCATCAGTTGATGGACATTTAGGTTGTTTCCACCTTTTGACTATTATGAACAGTACTGCTATGAACATTTTACAAGCTTTTGTGTGGACATATGTTTTCATTTCTCTTGAGTATATGCTAGGTCACATGGTAACTTTATGTTTTAACATTTTGAGGAACGGCCAGACTATTTTCCAAGGCATCTGCACCATTTTTCATTCCCACCAAAAGTGTATGAGGGTTCCAAGTTCTCCAAATTTTCACCAACACTTGTTATTATCTGACTTTTTGATTCTAGCCATCCTGTGTGAGAAGTGCTATCTCATAGTGGGTTTGATTTGCATTTCATTGATGGTGAGCATCTTTTCACCTAATCTTTTTCTCTTAATGGCATTTTGGGAAGGAGAGGAGATAAACATGTGTGTTTGATCTACTATGTTTAACTCAAAGTACAATAGCTCATTTTAAATGTGACAGAAAAAAATCTAAATATTTGAAAACACTTCTATAGTGGTGTCAAGTCCTTATAAACATGTACAGCTTTCTACTTCTGTACTCTCTGTGTGCTGCAGTCACTGTGTGATTAAGGGACTGCAACATTTGCTCGGGAAGATTCCTTTCTGTGTGGGGTTGAGGGAAGAGTTCACTCGGGTGACTCCTCAGGCTTGACTACAGGGTCGAGCAGAACTGATGGCCAAAGCCTCTAAAGCTCAGTGCTTTTGGTCCCCATGGCTGTGTCCATCTATTGTGGGTCAGTGTGCTCCACAGGTGTAACTGTCAAAGAATTGTGAGAGCTGTGACACAGGCACAAAGCATACATCTGAGCGATGGGTGGCAGGATGTTCTGATGGGCTTTTGCCCTTTAACCATAGTGTAGGAGATGGGCCATATCACACATGCCAGATGATAACTCTGAAAGTGGGGTGAGGGGTGCATGGGAATTTACACTGCTCTCATGCATGTTTAAACATTTCTGTAATAGAAACCTTAAAACAATAAAAGAAGTTGGGTTGCCTCATAAGGAGAGGGAGGGGATGAGAGGATACCTGGCAAGGGGGCTCAGTCCATCAAGATGAGGGTTTAGCTCTCACAATAAGGATATTTCAGGATGTGTAATTCCATTGAGGTTAGGAAGGAAACCCCTGTTCATATAACAGGAAAGAAGGAAAGGGATAGCGTTTTTGTGAAGGTTTTTTGATGGAAAGTTCCTATCTCTTGACTTCTAGCTCATCTGTGAATGGTGGTCCAGTACATCTGCTGAGCAAGTGGAGATGGCCTAAGTTTGAGGAAAGTGAAGGAGATTTGAAACAAAGTTGAGTAGCATCAGAGAGAAGGGACTAAGGAAACAGTGACCTAAGCCCCATTTGTTTTCCTCACGTGTTGGTAAGCATGGGGTCATTATTTGTGCAATGAGCCAAGGTTTTCCAGCTAGTGCTGGGGCTGAATTTATCATGGCACCAGTAGATTTGACTGTGAGATTTAACCAATAGTGATCAGTTACCTATAGGAAGCCATTTCTGGAAAAGGCAGAGAGATGGGATTTTGCCAGACAGGAAGGATTAGGGGATTAGATGGGGCCTATTTGTAGTGGAACTTTTTAAATGTTGGTTACCTGACAGACCATGAAATCTACCTTGGAGAGGGAGGAAATGAAGACAGGAGCTAGGTGGATAGATGAAGGGTAAGTGGAAAGATGAATGACCTGGATTTAAGATTAAGGGGACTTTAAATCAGAAGAATCAGGGATGAGGCCAAATGGTGGAATGTCACACTGTGCTGATCCTGATGTCAGAAGTGTTCCTGGTTATAAGACCTGGAGTGTGGCAGTAACTGCCCTGGAATAGGAGGACAGGACCCTAAAATGAGATGATGTAGGATCTGAGGGGTCGGGCTATTGACTGGTCCATCCACATGGATATTTGTGCCCTCCACTGCCTCCTCACCTCTTCTAGTTCCCTGCCCTGGGCCCTGTCCCACCTTTTGTCCCTCCTAGGCCCTCTACAGAATCTGCATTCTTTTTTGACCCTAAGCTTCACACATTGGAGGGTCAATGGCATAACTCTGGACAAGAAAATATAAGTGTGGAGTGAGAGAGGGCTGTGGTGGACATAGGTTTTGTTCTTTCTTTTAAGACCTAGGATTCACAAGTCTTTCTGGAATAACTACCTCAAGTGCCTCTAGGACACTCACCCCATGTTTGAGTCCCAGTCTATACAAGTGGAGTTGCCTTTCGTCCAGACCCTATTGTAAGGGTGGGTATGTGTGCAGTCCATGGTGATTCCCCCAAACATCTGTAACCTGGTGCATAGTCTGGGACTCGCCTCTGGTTCATGAGCTGCAGGTGTTCTGAGGGAGACCAACCATGGCTCCACCAAGGCCATGAATATCAAAGGAGGCACCTCCATCCTGAACGTGAACTTTACACAGTAAGGGCAAGATCTTGTGTATTTCCATCAAGCATGGATGGAAGGAAGGCACCAAGATCACCTTCTCCAACTGGGGGGTGCCATGACTGATGACATCCCTGGAGATTTTGTTTTAATGCCCAAAGAACAGTGCGTGCCTTTTTGGAATAAGGCATCAGTGTGCTGTGCAGTGCTCAGATTAGCCTCAAGTAGGTGGTGCCTGGATCAGATTGAGGAGGGGGCGGGGGGAACACGACAGGGTCACAATATGGATGATGAGGCATAAACCTTTGTTCCACCAGCCACGTCATTCTTTCCCTTCTTCAGTTCTTCTTATCTTCCCACTCCCTCTAAGGCATCTTTTCCTTACTTTCAGCTTTATTTTACCCTGGGAGGTAGGTGGCTGCCTGGTCAACATTGCTACTACTGACAGCTAAGTGATGATTTTGCTTTGCAACAAAATGTCATCAATCAGTAATCTGAAGAAATACTCAGGGAGGGGAACCACTTCCCCAGCTGCCTTTCCAGTAAGTAAAATTCAGTGTCAAGTCTAAAGTATGCTTCCTCAATACATTAACATGACCCACATGACAGATTCTTAAGCAGCATCTATGCTGTTCCTAGCCCCTCCCCCACCAGCCCAGGATGCACTGCAGCAGTAACCCCCAAACACTTCCCTCCAGGGTTCACCCAGCTGTAGGGTCCTCCGGTCACTGACTTATAAATCATGATGAAGCCAATGTTTCTTCTTCACCGTTATTTTCTGAAAAATACACCTGTCCTTCACTTTCTTAGGATATAGAAGACCTGTCTTCCCTACTGCTCTAAAGCTTATAAAACATTCAGTGAGGGGAAGGTGTGGGCTGCTCTACATTTTCATTAAGGCTAAGCTAAGAGGCAGGAGACAGAGCCTATCTCAAACTCATCAGGGAGGAAATGGGCTTTGGGGGGCACGTCATATCTCTGTCAACAAGAGCTCCAGGGGGCTGGTCACCTGTTAGAAACCAAAGGAAGCAATCAATAAGAGCCGGACTAACTCTTCCTTTCCCAAAGCACAAGCCCTGAATTACCCAAAACCCATGCCTCCAACACAGCACACAGAAAAGACTTCACTATTATCAGAGAATCATTATTGGGGAGAATTCTCCATGAGAAGGAATTACTTGGGGGCAGGAAGTTTTCCTCTTTGAAAATGCTGGAGAAGCATTTTCTGTTGAAATAGCAGAGACAGATCTCTGAAAACAGTGCCTTCAGCAGTGGTGAGAGTGGCTGGAGGGCCCTGGCTGGCTTGACCCCTGCAGGTGGGACTTGGATGGTGCACATGCTCCCTGCGGGGCACGGATGAGGGATGCTTCTGGCCCAGTAGCTGATCCCTAAAGGCTACAACTTTCTGGGGGTATCAGTTCTCATCTCTGATCTGTCTAACACTAGTAGGATCACTCTGGCCAGCAAAGCCAGCTTCTTGGTGGCAAGACTTGGTGTTTGTCACTTTACAGGAGGGGGCCCTGTAGTTAGAAGGATGTCCCTGGATGGCCTCTGCCTGGGCCTGCACTTCTGCCTTCTGCTGAGTTTTCCCATACTTCCTCAGGGAAGGAAGGGCTCTTGATGGCAGGTGACATCTGTTGCATGCTGATGCCCCAGTTTCTCCTCTGGGAACTTCTCAGGGACCATCATGGTCTTCTGAGCTGTGGTCGTCCCAATAATGGCAGCTCTCCTTTTAACTAGGCCTCTGCTCTGTGCCGATGATATGGGGCTGCCCTTTTCCTGGGAATTTTCTTGGCTTTTGCCTTTTGTCCCAGGATGAAGCCATTGCAAAATGTGGTTCCTCTTTTTCCTGAAGAGGTTTTCAGGAGGAGGCTGTCCCTTCTGTGATGGGATCTGGGAAGACTTGCTCCCAACCATCTCCTCTAATGCCTTGTTCTGGGTAAGGAAACTCTTCCTTCTAGGTTGGGCTGTCCCCAACCCTGCATCCCCTCCACCAAGCTCTTCTGCTTTAGGGCCCTGAGGGCTTGCTCTCTTTGAAACTGGTGCGAAATCCTTATCTTGGCACCTCCTTAAGACTTGCTTAGGGACCCAAGGCTCCTGCTGCTGCTCCATGCTGATTCCTCTGTCCTCCAAATGGACATGTAGCACTTGGGAAGCTCCCATGTCCCCAGTGGAGACACCCTGTGCATGAGTCAGTGAGGCCTTGTAAATCATGCTCTCTGAGGCAAGGGACCTGTCAGTGGGCTTGGCCTTGGACCTGGCTCTGATTCCTCTTCTCCAGTTTAGACTTTAATTCCTTAAACAGCTGTTCTTTAAGGAATGATGATTTAGGGTCTTGGGCAACTGGTCTTTTTGGTGGGGGCCTTTCAGTGGTCCCAGTAGTTTCTACTTCACTCATCATTTGGGAGCTTCCTGGCTTGCTGGTTGTCAAGATGTCACTAGTTCTTGACTGCAGCACATCGAGCTCCTTGGCCCTGAATATCTCCCTGGACACACTGAGGGTGGCGAAAGGTTCTGACCTCTTCTCCATCTTTTTGCCCTGTCTTGTTTCTACTCCATCCCTGGAACTCATACTCTTCCCCTTTGGCTCATATCCGGCCTCTCCCTAGGAGAGAAAGTCTCTGACTGGCTTTGTCTGTGATGATGTGTCTGACAGGCAAAAGAGTCTGTCTGGAACCCATAATTCTCTGAACATCCTCTGCAAGCTCTTGATTGATATCAGAGGGTGATTGTCTAAAGGTCCCCTGTCCTTCCTGGCCAACAGGTGAGGTGTCAGGGTGAGAATGATCCAGGACAGGGGCTGAATTTGTTGTTCCCACTTTGTCTTGAGGAACAGATTTAGAGCTTCCTCTAAGGGGCTTGAAGCCCCCAGATTTGGAGTCCACCTCAGCAATCACGTTGGTTGAGGAGGGAAGGTGGGAATGGGACAAGGGATGCTGCACCTTTCAAATTAAAGATCTCTATGGATTCAAGGGCCCTGCAGGGAAGGCCCCACAGCATCCTCATATGAAACATTTTAATATGGGCTTCCAGCATCTGTTGTGCACTGGAATCAATGAAGGAAAGCTGCTGGAAGGTATTCAGGCAGTGCTCCCCACCCGCTGATGGTGGCATACTTCTCTGTGTTATTTGGGTGTGGGATTTCACAGAAATCTGCAATGATTGCTTGATAGCATGCCATGAACTATGCACAGTCCCAGGGAGCCGACCCTCGTTGATTTACTCAAACTTGTTGCTCAAATGTACTTTCAGGACATTTTCAACTTGTTTCTGATATAGACTCCCACTTGAGGAGCTTGAATTTTTCCCTGACAGACTCGCCTTGTGACTACTTAGGTCTTCCTCAAAGTCATAGCCCTGATCCTTATCTGAAAATCTGTCCAGGTCACTCAACAGATGATCTTTTGGGCCATTCTCTGGGCTATGTCCCTGATCCTTCCCCATGTCCTTCTCTAGCTGAAGCATTTCTGAGCCCCTCTCATGGAAGCTTCCAGGATGGCTCAATCCAACATTTAGATTTTTGTTCACAGAGACCCATGGGAGTCCATGATTGCACTCTGACTCAGGTAACTCTGAAAAATCTCTTGGAGGCCTCGTCAGTGACAGAGACTCATGGATCCTGCTGGGCAGGCCCCACCGGTGCCAGATGAGCCTCTTTCAAAGGTGATGGTCTAGTTTCTTCCGAAGCTCATCAGTGAGAGGAAACTCTCCAGGAAGGATGGAGATTGAAACATGGGCCTGCGAGGCCTGGGGGTAAGGAGAGTTGGCAGCTGATGGACAAATGTCTTCCCCAGGTCTTTGGACCACAGAGGGTAAACCCCAGAAACTTTCTTGTTGCTTCTCCAACACATTCCATTCCAGGTGTTGAATTTCAGATGGAACGAGAGACTCTGACTCATTCGGTGGTCTATGGAAACACACTCCACAGATCTTGGTCTCAGGTAGAGGACCAGATCGTAGGATTGGGAGTAGGGACTGAAAGTGGGCCTGGGGCTGGACCTGAGTGACAGGTAGGGGCTTGGACTGGGACAGGGTTTGAGGCAAGGCTTGAGGCTGGATCTCAGGCGAGGACAAAGGTAGACGATGGGAAAGTACTGGAGATTCTTCAGCTGGGGAGGCATTAAATATTGTTGTGAAAATGAAGATTGAGGAACAGTCACCTGAGACATGGTCAGCAGGGGCCAAGGACTCAATGTTCAGGGATGGGAGACCCGAGAAGAGCTGGACGTGTTTTTGTTGTAAATGGTCCTCTGAGGTCTTAGGATATGGGGGCTGCTGGTGCACAAGCAGCTCCTTTGGTTTCCCTTTGCTGCTCCAAAAAGGAAGGGAGAATGCTGAGTCATGCTTATCAGCAATTGACTCCAACATTTTCTCTGAAGAATTTAATTGGTAGTCTGGCCTAAGTTCTTTTGGAAAAGAACCCCTCATCAGAAAATCACTCCTATTTTGGACTTGTCTCTCCAAGAGTGCCAGGACATCAGGGCTGAGAAATGGGAGGTTACCAAGATCCACAAGGTTGTTGGCAGGGTCTCCCCTCAAAAAGCCCTCTAAAGAGTGGAGGGCAAGAAATTCTTGATTGAAATCACATTGTGCCAAAGTGGAATGGAACAAGTCTTTGGCATGAGCTTCCCATGGGGAGAATTCTGAAACTGAGAGGCTTGAATGGTCAGTGCCTTTGATTGGTGGGACACAATTAGAAAACCCACCAGGGCTATCCAGAGATGAGTTCTCCAGCACAGGATTCAATAAGGTAGAAATTGAATCAGATTGAGTCACAGTTAAAGCGCTGTCTTGTGATGATGAAACAGACAGGGTTGGTGGTGTGTGATGAGAAGTCAATGAATCAGTGGGATCCATTGTCTCAGACAACTTTGGTAAGAGTTTGACATCTTGGGAAAGGGCTGAGTCAGGAGACAAGATGGTATGCATGGACAAAGTGGCCTCTGGTTGGAGAACAGGATCCACTGTCTAAGTGTCATGTGGTCACAGAGGGAGACAGACAAGGGGTTGGGGTGGAGAATGGTCCATTGGGAATTCGGAATCCAAGGGAGGAAAAGGTGCTGGTGGCAGAGAGTGACCCATTGGTGAGGGCGAATGAAAGTCAGCTAAGGGTGTCATTGGGTTAGGTGAAAGAATGGAGGGGGGTGTTGGGGAAGTCTCAGGTGGAGAGGCTGGTGTTAGGCCTCCTGGAGGGACTTCTGAGAAGGCAGAGGACAGAGTGAATGATGACTCAGTCACAGCAGCTGTGGAAGCCAAAGAGGACACAGAGAGGGTATCATCTTCCAGGTCCTCCAGGAACAGCAGCCGATTGACTTCTGCAGTTGTGCTATTACACACCTCAGAGGAGGGGTCTGGAAATAACAGTTGATGAAAGCAGGTGGTATCATGATGCTGGCCTGAAGGGCTGTGGGAGACAGGAGGTACAAAGCTGCAGCCAGGACCAGAAGAAAGAAATGAGGACCTGCTGGCCTGGGGGGGTAGGGGCCACCTGAAGCCTGCTGCCCCTTCACATTGCCCCACATCCATGACTTCACAACACACTCAGCAGCCCTCACCCCAAGGCCTTCATTCACATACCCGTTCCTATGGCAACCCCCTCGCATGACTAGGGCAGGCTGCACTGAATCCCTGGAATTGCACAGAACATGCTAAAGAGGGATCAGGAAAGAAGTGGAAAGACTGGTTACCTTTTCAGAATGGAAATCAGCTTATGTCCTCTGTTTCCCTCTGGTAATGTCTGCGACCTGGGAAATCAGGAGAGTGGGTTATGGAGGGAGTGGGTAGAAGCATAGGTGTTAGTATGGACTCCCATAGGAGTCCCTTTATGGGAGACCTTTGGGACATTAAACTCTGAAGGCCCCAAGAATCAGCAGATGAGGTCAAATGGTCAATGATATTAACAAGGTTCATAGGCGTATGTTGCTTCATTTGTAAAGTACCTTCACATACATTATCTCATGTGATGCTCGAAACCACCATGTGAGGAGCACAGGTCAATGGTTACCTCAAAGACGAATCTGATCATTCAGGAAGTCAAAATACTTTCACGAGGTCAGGAGACAGAAGCTCTGACTCTTGACATCTAACATGGCCACCTATTGGGCAACACCCATTGTCCAGATTCATCACTGCTCCATGCCCAGAGGTGAGCAGAGCAGGAATCTGAGAAGCGTTTCAGGTTCTGACTGCCTTCCCATGAGCCTCTCCTCTGAGGGCTCTGTTTTCTGACAGGGACTGTAGCTAGCAACTGACATCCTCAGAAGTCATGGACCTGGGACCTCATGGAAAGGACAGGAAGAGTCATCCTTGGAGAGCTTAGATGGAATAAGCAGAAACTTACCTCCTGATGTTCCACCTTTCCTTCTCCTCTTGGCTGTGCCCTTACGCTGAGAACAAAAAGAAAAGAATCAGAAGCTGGGACTCATTTCTCTCCCTTCTCTCTCTAGGAAACTCAGATACTCATTATCCATGAATAATATGCCTACTTTAATGAACAGAACTTTGTGTTCCTTCCTGTTATTAATTTTTTTAATGATAAAGTATTTCCATTTTTCCTTCTTTGAACAACTCGAAGAAAGATTTTGTCTATGAGGTCTACAACTTGGTATTCTGAGTCAGAAGTCCTCTGCTCAAGGAGGGCATAGACTCTGAGGTCAACAGACACGCCTGTGGTCCCTCAGATAGACCATGTGTCCTGGACAGAGCTCAGACTCCAGCCTCTGCTCAGAGGCTCAGCCCTGCTCTTCTGATCAGCCAGATAAAAATGACGCCTGACATGCGAATGTGACTCATGATCCAGTGTTGGGAACTCTGTTCTCCTGCAGAGATCCCAAACTCTCTAAATAACCCAATCTGGGGCCATGAAATCACTGTTGGGGATTTTATCCCAGAATCCTCCACTACACCCAGATGGTCTGTGAGCTTCAAAGGGAAACATTCCCTGCTGAACACCTAGCCCTGCCTGGTCTATGCTCCTAGAAGGATGCTACTCCCTCCTCTACTCAGACTTCCCATCTTAGGTGTCTCTCTGAGCCAACCAAACTCCTTTTAAAATATGGGGATAAAGACAGAAACAACAATAAAGAATCACTGTTACGGGCTTGCCCAGCATTCCTTACCTTTTGGAAAGCTTTGGTTTTCCAGAAGGTTGGTAAAGATGGAATCCCCACCAGGTAGCACAGGAACAGAAGAAGCAACCACAACCCACACAGGAAGGTGAGGTTGGGGTCAGTATCTAAGAATGCTGAGCAGATGCTCAGACACAACTCAATAGAGCTATTCAGAAATGAGAGAACATTCCAATGGCTGAACTCCATTGTCTGAATCGCGAGGCTGCCTGAAGCAACTGAGCTCTGAGAGTGCCAGTGCTTGCCTATAGTCCCAGGCCTGCATCACAGAGTACAGAAGAGTAACAAAGGGTTTCTGAGGGTCGGGGAGGGGACATGAAGAGGGTGTGCCCACAAGTCCTCCCCCACCCACCAGACTGGCAGATCTCTCCACTCCTCCTGGGCCCTCTAGGTCCCTCTGACCTGCTAATGTTACCACACAAAAGTGGGGTTCTTTTGCCCAATGCACAGAAATAGCCAGTTAATTATGGCATCAGCCTTTGGGAAAAGAGATCAGCTTTATTCTGAAAGATCCATCTGCAGGGAGAACAGGGGGCATGTGCCCTCAGATCTGTGTCCCTGATTCAGAATTTGGGGAAATTTAAGAGGTTAGGGAGAACAGTGTGGCACCTTGAAACACTGGTGGCACGGGTGGGTTTTGATCGGTGGGCTTCAAGCATTTATGGTAAGGTTTTAAACATTTATGACGGGGTTCTGAACATTTATGATGAGGTTCTACACTTTTATGATAGGGTTGTAAACATTTATGATGAGATGGGGAAGGAATTTTAACACCAAATCTTCCTGAATGAGGGACCCCTTGCTTGTGATAAGAGTCTGACTTCTAAGTTTCCGTTGTGTCCCAGTCCTTGGGTTCCATGGGAAGGGGGATCCGTGGTTCTGCAGTCATTTCAGGTCAAGACGTCTTTTGTGCATGCTCTGGCTACATGACTCTGAAGATTGTCTGAAGGATAATTCTTAGTCACTCTGTTGATAAGAGATGGTGTCAGTTGAACTAGTCCTGGAGGGCCCGGGGTGACACTGCCTGTAGTCCTATTTTCCAACTCCACCTTTTCATCAGATAATATATTTACTTAATGGAATTTTCTGCTTGTACCGTCTGTACCCCAGATATCACCTTGGTCCACCTTTACTCTTTGGAGAACTGGACTTGGGTCTCACCAATTCTAATGCCTTGCAAGTCTGAGATACTGCCCAGAATTTTTGCTTGTACCCAGACATTTACACTCAGGATCGTAATCATCCCCAAATCTATCCTTTCTATACAATGTTTTTTCCTTACATGAACCCAGATACACAACTTAAATGTTCTACATTTTAGTTTTGTGAATACTGAATAGCAAATTTTAGGGGTTTTTTTCAGTCAGCCTTTAGCATCTTCAGAGAGGATGACTCAAATAATTAAATGCATAATTCATTATTCAACATTCACAAAACTAGATAAATAAAATATAAATGTGAATAATTGTACCTTCAAATGATCTTGGGGGTAAGTCTGTAGCACTTATTTTTCTGAAGTTAGTGAAGCTTGAGCTGCGTAAAGACTTTCAGACACAGTACACACTCACACACACACAAACACGCACATCTTTTGACAAACCAAATGACAAGAGATTTTCACATTGAGGTATATGGGGTAACTATTTGTGTTCAAAATTGATTTGACTTGAACTCAAGAAGACTACCTTACGGCCCCTCAAACATGCACTGTACATATGCTTTAACCATTAAAGTGAAGAGTGCAAGCTCTTAAGATAAGAATGCACACTTCCCCGCCTTATGCGCTATTGGTAACGCCCTCGTTGGAACTGCTAAAATAAGTTCCCTTTCCTGACTTCAGGATCATGTTGAGCTGCTAGTTTGCAACTGAATACCTCTGAAACTTTGATAAAAATGTATCCTGGGCACGTTTAATGGATGTTCTTTGTTCTAAAAAGATATAAGTCTGTACTGAAAATCATGCTTCTGTGGAATGCTTTCTTTCTTTCTGGGAAAGGCCTTCCTGGGTTATAATCCTCACTCTGGCTCAAGTTAAACTCACCTTATTTCTCTTATTTATAAAATGGTTATTGGTTATTTTGCATTGACATAATCCAGCATTTTCAAATCCAACAATAAAGCATTTTCTCCTTTTTTTTCAATCTTTCCTTTATTTTGACCCCACTTTTTCTTACTCTACCTAAAATACAGACAGTCCCCACCCTCTACACGTGGACACATCCGTTAGTTGGTGCAGGCTGCTGTAACAAATACCACAGAGTGGGAGGCTTAAACCACAAACATTTGTTTCTCACACTTCTGGAGGCTGGGAAGTCCAAGATCAAGGCACCAGCAGATTCAGTGTCTGGCCAGGCTCACTTCCTGGATCACAGACACTTGCCTTCTCCCTGCAACCTCACGTGGTGGAAAAAGAGGGTGAGGGAGCTCTGTGAGGTCTCTTGTATGAGGACACTAATCCTCTTCATGAGGCTCCACCCTCATCACCGAACCACCTCCCAAAGGCCCCATCTCCTGATGCCATCACATTGGGATTAGGTTCCAACATGTGAACTGGGGGGACACAAACATTCAGTCCATATACTGCCCAAAGGCAGGGATAGTTTGCATTGTGCTAAGCTGTTGATCCCCTCAGCCCTCGGGTGGCAGGTGGGACCCAGGAGTGTCAAAGCCCAGGGCAGAATCTCGTCTTGTGCAGCCTCATCCGAGTGCCCTTGTGGGCCCTGTAAATATGATCTCTTCCTAAGAGCGCCTTGGCACGAAAAAGGCTGAGAAGCTCTGCTTTATATGATCACCCCACGTATGTTCAAAAATCAACCACCTGTCACGCTTTCTTCAGGCTCCTCCTGTCAGGTTTAAATAATCCCAGTACTTCCCTCCCCTCCTCCTACATCTTCTTTTCCAAACTCCTTATCTTCATGACAGCTGTCCTCTGATGGGTCTCCTAATTTCTCACGTCTTTCTTAAGCTGTGATGCCCTTGCTCTGACACCCACAGCCCAGCACTGTCACCTGATCTCTGTGAAAGGGTGAGACAGTCTTCACTCTGGTGGGGTCTCCTTTCAATTACACAGGAACAGGTACCCTTCCTGGAGGACAAAACCTGCCAGGAGGTGCCACTTCCTCCTCGCCTTGATAGGCAGCCTGAGCCAAGTTTCATTTAATAAATATTTACTGCTGGAAACCAGGAGACACAAGTACCTGTAAGTCATGTCTCTGTCCTTGAACCATGAGCTGCGGTTTTAGGGAAAAGCCCTGCACAGGTCAAGAGTGACACCACTGCACAGGAGAGGCCCCGGCACATGTGGGAACTGCCAAGCGATCTCAGGAAGAGATCAGAGAAGGGACAGACACTGTGGGTGACAACTGCTCCAACACACTGGGCTCCTCAGGAGGGTGTCCCTGCAGCTCTCCCCTCTCTAGTTTCTGACACAAATCAACAAAGATGGTCAAAGAGCAGCTTGCCTCCTTTACAAGGGCACGTGTTGGCTAGATATCCTTAACATACACCGAGTGCCTTCAGTTAACACCTACCAGAAGTTTCAATAAAAAGGCTTTTCCCCAAATGCTGGTACGATTCCTTTTCTAAACAAGAAACAAGATTCTAAAGGTACAACTTTTTTGTTTTTTCTTTTTGTACCACGGGAAAGAAACCCCATCAATATTTAATGGGAGAGGTCCATAGCACTTGCCCCTCCCATACTAACATCAACTGTAAATAAGAAACTTATGTGTCTAATTTCTAAAGCACTTTACTTGCCACGATCTCAGTGGATTTTCACAACCACCCTGGGACGCAAGCAGGACAGGTATTATTGTGCCCCTTTTATCAATGAGTAAAACTGAAGCTCAGAGTGGGTGAGTGACTTCCCTAGATCCTTCAGCAAGTGACAAGCAGAATCCTGACTACTAAATCCCGTACATCCTCAATGTGTCAATTTTCAACAATATTAGTAGGAGACTTCTTGAAACAAAAAGAATGCCAGAGTCCTAAAATTAAAGCAGTTGTGTGGCTAAGAATGTTTGCTGTCTCCATTAAATGCTGGCAAATTTGGGGCCGTTCCAGCAGCATAGTGGTTGGGTTCCCATGCTCTGCTTTGGCAGCCCAGGGTTCGCAGGTTCAGATCCCAGGCGCAGACCTACACACCACTCATCAAACCACGCTGTGGCAGCGTCCCACATACAGAAATTATATGAAGATCACCACAGATGTTAGCTCAGGGCCAGTCTCTTCACCAAAAACAAATAAAGCTATTTTTGTTATTCTGTCCCCTCTTAGGTATATTTTCCTTTGCCCTCTCAGCACAAATGTCTTTATAGTATTTCTCTACTCCCCTCTTAAAACTTGCCTCCAAGAACTGTATTACACTTGTCTCTCAGTAAGGTATAAATGAATAATAGCATTTGAAATGTCACCCCTCAAGGAATGCACCTCACACATTTTACATCTGTCTCACCCTAAGCCCTGTAACAAAGCCTCTCACCAGACCATTTCAGGCAGCCATGCAGAGGTGGCAGAGATGGCTTTTGGCAGCGTGAGATCTTCTCCCCACAACCCCATGACATCTTCCCAGTGGACCGACGTGACCACAGAAGTCTGGTCCTGGATTTCAGACGGCACTTGCTTCTGTCTCCCAGGATTGTGTTTTCCACAAGCTCTAGTAGAATAACGTGCTGCCACTGGAGGAGACTCAACAGGGCTAAGTCATTAGTTTGGGATTCTCATACATTCTCAATTTTCTAGGGACAGTCCTCTCATCTCCCGACCACTGTCCCTGGCATGAGCCACATGGGGGCAGCTGTTTTCAGGATACCAAAAAGCATGAAGAAGAACAGATTCTGGGGAAATATTCTTTAAAACTGCATTTCAAACGATAGCTGTACCATGTCCTTCATTCATTCACAGAATAAACTTTTACTGAACTCTACTATGTAGTATTTCTATTAGAAATATCAACAAAATAAGGCAGTGCCTCTGCCCTCGGGCAGGTCATAATTCCGCAAGTGAGACCTCTAACAACTATGATAAAGTGATAGAAACTGTAAAAGAAGTAGGAATAAGAACACAGTGAATACACTGATAAAGGAGCAATTAATTCTCCTGCCCAGAGGAAGACAAGAGAGGAGTCAAGGAAAACTTGAGAGTTGGTGCCAAGTGAAATAGGCCTTGAGGTCACTTGTCCCCTTCTCCTCTTCCCTTTCTTCCTCTTCCTTCCCCTCTTCTTTGCTTTAGACTTTGTTTTTTAGAGCAGTTTAAGGTTCACAGCAAAATTGAGAAGAAAATACGGCGTTCCTCTATGGCTCCCCACACACAAACACACAAAATCTCCCATTATCAACCTCCAGCACCAGAGTGGGACATTTGTTACAACAGATGAACCTACACTGATACCTCATTATTGCTCAAAATCTATAGTTTCCATGAGAGTTTACTCTTGGTGTCATACATTCTATGGCTTTGGGGAAATGTATAATGCCATGTATCCATCATTGCAGCATTATACAGAGTAGTTTCACTGCCCTAAAAATACTCTGTGCTCCACCTATTCATCCAATCCTCCCCACTAACCCCTGGCAACCACTGATCTATTTTATCATCTCCAGAGTTTTGCCTTTTCCAGAATGTTACTCACATAGTTGGAATCAGACAGTGTGTAGCTTTTTCAGATTTGCTCCTTTCACTTACTGATATGCATTTAAGGTTCCTCCGTGTCCTTCATCTAAGCTTCTGGCTTTCTGAGATGTTGGTAGTATAACCATGTGAGATTCCCTATGAAATGAGATCTTTGGGGTCTAAATGCAGTTTTTATCAAATGTCTGGAGGCATCAATTTGCCTTCCTACCAACACTCTCAAAATTAGGCCTGAATCAGTAGGAATGATGGTGATGCCTAATGCTTAACATTTGAAAATAATGAACACCTTATGATCTCAAGGTTCTATTCTTGAGTTCTAGAAAGTCAGAAATGAGTGTAACAAGAGAAAGTGCAATCCAGCCAGAGGGAACGTGAGCAAACTTGTAACATATATGAAAATACATGTCTGGTCACGCTAAGGCACAGGGTATGTGCCTGAGAACGAGAGTAGAAAACACTTAGACTGAAAAGCTAGAAGACCCAATTGTGAAAGACTTTGAATGACAGTTTAAGAAGCTTGAACTTGTGCTGAGGGCAGTGGGAAGCTAAGGTTTTCATAACCAGAAGCATGGCATACCCAGATCTGTGTTTTGGAAAGATGACTGGCAAAAGAGAAGCTGGCTGAGAGATCATGGGAAATATGCACATTAATCACTGTATCTCATAGAACTCTTTCTCTTGCAGATGACAGAAAACTGGGTAAATTCTGGCTTACGCAAAATTTTTCATTTATTGGCTTGTATTTCTCCATAATACAGGAGTAGATTCAGCTTCTGACTCACCATCCCTTGGTTCTGATCTCTTAGTGTTAACTCATTCTCAAACCACTTCTCTTGTGGTCCCAAGATGGCATCCAGCCAGGAAAAGCCAAGAATTGTTGTCTCAGTGTCCGCAATTAAAGTCCCAACATTCAAGTGAATGGGATCAGCTCAGGTCATAAGAGCACCTCTGAAATAACTACTGGGAACCAGAGAATACTATCGGCCTAGTCTAAGTCAGTTCTACTCAAAGTCTGGTCCATGGACCAGTACCTGGTCCCACATTTTTGTTCTCAGCTGCAACAAGATAAGTATAGAAATTAAGGATGGTTAGAAATTTGTATTGCAATTTGACAAGGGTAATTAAATCTAATAAAAAAGGCTTATATTGTGTCTTTATTTTGTGTGTCATTTTTCCAGTACTTCATTTGTATCATATTTTTCACAACTATCAGTCCACAGTGTGTGGGGATGTGGGAGAGAAAGCAAACTGGGCCTTCACCACAGACAGTTTGAGGAACTGTGGTCTAATGTCCATGCTCCGCTGTGAAGCCTGGGGGCAAGTCAGCATTCTGGAAGCACACAGGGAGACTTCGGGGAGATCCTTCCCCCTCACCATGAGAGGGGGCGAAAACAAATGTCCACTATAATCATGGGACCTAATCTGGACAGAGGAGGGGCACTCCCAGACTCACCTCAGCTCTCCTATAGAAAATCCTGGTGAAGTCTTTTCAAGCATAGCACATTACTGTTGATAAATTCTCACACTGGGAGAACTGAGTTTCCATATTAATCTACTGGAGTGAGTAAGGGAGAGAATAACGATGGATAAGTCAGAAAAGCTAGGCATGGGACATATCATTCAGGGCTTCATAAATCATGTTAATGATTTTGAATTTATCTTATGTGCAAAGGGAATCCACCAAAGCTTTTGAGCAGGAAGATGACAAGATGCAATGGATTGGAGGGGGAATAAGAGTAGAGGTAGAAGGACTAGCTGGAGAGCTATTCCAGTAATCCAGGTTTTTAAAAAAATGCTGATTTGGATTTAGGGTGATGGCGGTAGAGATGGGAGTGAGTAGACCAATTGAAGACATACTTAGAGGAGCTTTAAATAGCACTTGGAGATGAACTGGCTTAAGAAGTGAGCAATGAAGGGACTTGGAAATGACTCAGGTTTCTGGCTTGAGCAGCTAGATGCACAAAAGCCCTGTTTACTGAGATGAGGAAGCCTGAAGAGGAAGAGATTCATGGATGGATGAGCAAGTGCTCCATTTTGGATAAGTTGAGTTTGAGATGCCTGACACATTTACAAGCAGATATTAAACAAGTTCCTACATATAGGGCTCAGGAGCTCAGAGGCATTATTCACAGAGATAAAATCTGCACCATTATTGTTTTGCTGTTACCTAATCCCATTTTCAGTGAGAGATCAATTTCATCATTGTCCCTTCCAGAGCCAGTAACCACCAAGTTGCAGCTTAAATTCTAGCATGAACTTGTCAGTATGGAGGCTCTTTTTAAAGACTCCATTATGAAAACACTTTCAGAGCAACATTTGATAAATGAAATGGATCACTGAGCTCAGGAACCTGGGCTCCCAACCTAAGGTTTACTGTGCACCTACCACATGCTGGGCTACATGCTTTACATGCACTGTCATATTCTCATAGCAATCCTGCAAGGTGGCTCTACTACTCCGTCTAGTTTACAAATGAAGAAACCAAGGCTTAGCAAGATTAACCAGCTTTCTCAATGCTATGTAGCATCACAGCCCAGTTAGTAAGTGACAGCCCAGAAGTAAGTGTTAGTAGTGACACATGGGAAGCCAAGTGTGTCTGACCCCTTCAAACTTTCACTGCTTTCTTGGGATTATTGTTTTGCCTAACATGATGACCTAAAATGTCAGCAGTATTTTCCTTCCCTAGAATAGGAAATACAACTCCCCTCCCACACCCCAAGCATCCCTTTTCTTCACAGGGTTTCCTTTCTTTATTTCTCTTCGGAAAAAAAGTAGTTCCTCCGTAAGTCATGGATGAGGAAAGATGAGCAAGATTCAAATATTCCAATGATGCTGACAAAATTAGGCTTTCTTAAGGCACTGCTAAATATGCTCATAACTATGAGCTACAGAGAGGAAACATTCGCCCTGGCACTACTGCCTTCACTAGAAAAGCATTGTGATTTGATGGATGGGGAATGAACAATTCCTACGGCAGCTGCTGCATCATTAACTACTCAAGTAGGCTTAGGAGTCTGCTCAGGTAGTCAGCCTGTTACTATTGCAAAAACAACTGACCACACCCTTGCATGGGCTTCGTGGTCTGATTTTGTTAGGGTGTAAGTCAGCTTCAAAATTAATACAAAGTAGGTGTACAAGTTACACACTGACACCTTGATTTCAATGTTGGTCTTTAAAACGCTTTTTAAAGTCTTTTTCTGGTATACCACACCCACTCTAAACTTTCCAGAATGCAGAGGTTCAATTCAGCAAACTATTCCTCTCTTACAGTCAATTGTTGACATCGTACTCTTTATCCCTAAAGGCCTGTGAATTATTTTTAAAGTGACAGGTTAAAGGAAAGAACAAAATGGACTATGTTATCATTTCTCAGGTTTAAGAAATAATTTGAGTTCCTTTGAGCCTTCCTGTTAGATGGTACGGCAGACACCGTTCATGAACTATACGGCACGAGGACAGTCATAGCGTCCTTCCTCCTTGTTCATGAGCAA